TGTCATGCTCTGAAGACTAGGAAAGTAGCATCATTTAATAGCTATAATTTTTCTTGGAAAGTAGATTTTCATAAGAGATGAACAGCTGCATTCTCTGTTGAGAGCAGAATAGTGAGCAAGGAATTTCTCATATAATGAGGGATATTTGAGCTTGAAAGTTTGTCAGAGGTCATCTCATCTAACACTTTGACCATCATAGGAATGGCTGCTACTTTGGTGCTTTTCAAACTGTGAGTCATGCAATTATTTTAATAGGTCACAAAATTAGTTTAGTGGTTGATGATCAGCATTTTTAAAATGTAAATAGAGTAGAAAAGGTTATAGTTCATGTCAGGATATGAGGGTAAATCTTTTTTGCTTTTATGTTTTGATGTGTATATACACACATTCAGTGTGAACTGTAAAAACAAAGTAGTTTACAAACAATTACCTTAACCTCTGCTTAAGAGGCACCCAGCGAGGGAAGTGCCTATGTTCAGGGCAGCCTTTGCTCAATAGATTGTTCCCCTAAAGTGTTTGTTCTTATGTTAAATGTTTCCTCTGAATTCATAGTATTTAAATATTCCTAGAATGAAAACTACATTTAAATTGGGCTCATTTGTCTCTCGTTGTGTCCTGGCCCAGACTATGCCAGAAGTCTCTTCCTTACCTGGAATTCTGTGTAGGCACCTTCACAGGCTTCATTAGTTTCCTTAGATAATCAACTATGAGCTTTGACTTAAAGAAACAAAGGAGTGAAGGAAAAATTTCTTGAATGAACTGGCTGGAAAATTGTACCACCAGGGTGATGTTATAGTGCAACCTTAAGGGAAAGGATTTGATTGACTAAAAAGCAGTCTTCCGGGCCTTCTTGATCCCATGAGACCGGGTAGGATCTCTTCCCTGTCATGGTACTATGAGGCTATGGGAGGTGGCAAGCTCCCTTCACTAATGTATGCATATGCTGTATTTTAATTGCCTCTTTTCTAGCTATCTTTACAGCTAGACAGTCAGATCCTCAAGGGCAAAGAATGTGTCTTGTTCACTGTTATAATTATAGTTCCTGGCACATTATAGGCACTCAGCAAATGTGTTTCGACTATATAAAATAATACTTTTTTTCTTAGTTACTTGGCTGGAAGTTGAAATGTACACTCAGAGAAGACTAGATATGTGGGTGATATAAGGCAGGAATGGCTTTGGAAATCAAACAAGAGTAACATAGCAAATGATACAAAAGAAATCAGGAAATGGTCTGAACTCCATGGTAAAATTAGCAACTGTTTGAAATTTTTCCATAAGCAAGTAACCTCAGAGATAAACTAGAAACATTGTAGCACAATAAATCTATAATGTTATATGTGTATGGTGATTTACACTTCTGCATGTTCTCATTGGGCCTACTAAGCAGTTAGGTGAGATGGAAAGATAGTAACATTGCCATTTTGCACATGACAGAACTGAACCTTGGTGTGGTTACTCACTGGCTCCAGGAATCCGAGTATCGGCAAAGGGCTGCCATCACACCTGATCCTGTGCCAGTGTCCCTGTACACAGACAGTTCCAGGTTGTGAAATGTGTGGTTAACAATAACAATGGTAATAAGTTAGGTTGATGTCATATTTCATTATGCATTTGTCTTTTTTTTAAGTTGGTGCATTATAATTACACATACTAGTGGGATTCATTATGCTGTATTCATATGTGCACATAATATAATTTGCTCAATATCCTTTCTCAATATCTTCCCTTTTCCTCTCTTCCTCCCTCCCCCAATCCACTTGCTCTGTTTTATTGATCCCTCTGCCATTATTATTATTATTATTATTTTATATATGTCCTTATGGGACTCATTGCAGGATATTTGTACATAAACTAGAAAAATTTGATAGATTTTGAGAAATTCTCCCCTCCACCACCTCTTTTTTGGAGGAGGGCTACTGGAGATTGAATCCAGGGGTGCTTTACCACTGAGCTTTATCCCAGCCCTTTTTATTTTTTACTTTGAGACAGGGTCTGACTTTCCCAGACACCTTGGAAGTTGGGATCCTCTTGCCTCAGCCTTCCAAGTCTCTGGGATTATAAGTGTGCACCACCATGCTGGCTCCTCCTTCCTACTATCTATCTATCTATCTATCTATTTATTATTGTATATTTGTCTTTATAGCCACCTTTTGAGTTGGTGTCTGAGTGATAGAATCAAAGTTGTTGATATAGAATGCTGGAAAGAAATGTTAAAGGGCCATCTTTCCAGTGCAGCAACTTGGTAGATACCTGAGTTTCCTACAGCTCAGCAGATCGTCCTAGTGGCCACTGTAATTGACATGTTTGTGAGGAGAAGCCTGCCACCTCTTGAGGCAGCCCATTGCATAGATAAGGGTGCTAGAGAAGGTAAGCTGAATATGACAAAGGTTAGAAATAATATGATACTGTTCAGAAACCTCTGAGGGGAGAGGGTAGTGATCAGTGTGAATGTGGAAATGCAATAGGAGCTAGGTTGAGCTGGGATTGAGAAGGCAAAGAGTATTAGCCTTGGGAGTGGAACTCTTCCACAAGTTTAGATGGGGGCAGCAACGTCGGTTACTGCTGGGCTTGTGGTCTCCCCTGGCCTCTTGGGCTCCTCACATGGCTGTAAGTCCTGAGTGTTGAAGTCTGTGTGCTCTGTGCTCCTGCTCCCCGGGGTCTGCCTACCTCTGAGGGATGGAAATGAGTTTGTAGTTTCTAGCATTCGGAATACTTTTCACCTCAGATCTTTAAGGTTGGGTTATGACTTGTATACCTATACATCTTTTTCCAAAAATTTTTATGGCTTGGTATGGGTTGTCATGCCATTTAAGGTTTTGCTAAGTATAATTCCAAACATGTAGTCATATTGGACCAACTTCCCTATCCCTAGTAGGAAAATGACCCACATATACATTTTGGGATGGTTATTGCTTCTTCACCATTCTGATAATTGAGCTGCAGTACAACCAGCTCTGTGTGGAACATATGCCAGTTGGTCTGGGAATTCTAGTCTAGGACACCAGGATTCTGTTGCTAAGCCATTTCTTTATTCCTGGGAACAAGGCAACATTCATTGGTGTATTGGGTAGCCACATGGGGTGCAGTGCTTGCTGTTTTCCTGTGAAGGAACCTGAAATGGTAAGAGAGAGGGGCGGGGGAGGGGGGAAGCACTTGGGCAAATGTCATCAGACCTGAACTCTCAGCTCTGGAGCCGACTCGGATGTGAGTCAGAGGGTCTGGGACTCTGTTCTAGGCCCCCAAGATTTCGTTACTAAGCCATTTCTTTACTCTTAGAATCACTGTACCCACAGTGTACTTTATGTGCCAGGTTTCCTTCTCATATGTATTCACATGCAGCTTATCTAGTGAACTCCTAATTATTCTTCAAAACCTAATTCAAATGCCCCTTTTCTCTTTTGTGTCTTAATTCAATGGGTATTTATGTATTAAGAAGATACTAAATACTAGATACTACTGGAAAGTAGGCATGGAACAAAGCAAAAACCTTGTCCTCAGAGCCTTGAGCCTGTGTCCCCATACCTCTGATTTTACAATAACATCTCATTTGACTATAGTTCCTAGCCTAGTGATTTGCTCAGTTGAGTCAGAGAACAAATGCTGCTTCTCTTTGTCCTTCTTTTTCTAAGTGAATGACCCAAGTCAGGCAGCCCTGGGAGTGTCATTCCAGAGGAGTGTCAGGAATGGTGAAGTTGCCATAGAGATGTTCCTGTGAGTGCAGTAGCTGCCATAGAATAGAGGGATGTGATGGAAAATTATAGACCTACACTGTGCAGACCTCCCCAGGCTGACAACAGGGACTGTCCTGCTCCTGTGGTCTAGTGGGCAATGCAAAGCCAGGACATGCACAGTCAGCAGAATAACACGAAGGACCCCAGGGAGAATTCCTGCTGACAGGAAGCACAGGCGTCTTCCTCACACCTGCACATGGGCCAGCAGGCATTTCCTGGCCATTGTTTGTGGTGGCCACAGTGACTCTATTTCTAAGCACCAGCAAAGTGGGGCTGGAGCTGGCCAAGCTCTGACCAAGCCAGCTTTTTTTATGCTATCACCAGGCCAGAGCTTCAACCAGCCTCTGCAGAGGCTGAAGCAGTGGTGAATCCATCTATCCATCTGACCACAACCTGTCTCCCACCTGGTGAATCAACATGGCAGCCCTGCCTGTTTGCTGTTTTCTTCTTTCTTGGTCCGCTCGCCTTTGGGCAGCTTATACTGGGGTCAGCTGCTGCCAATTAAGATGGCAGAATTTGAGTGTGGACATCCTTGACCAAGAGATGCAGCACTTTCCCCCAAAAGTTGTTGGGGAAAAATTCTGTTCTTTCAAGTCTCACGTGGAAACTTTCATATTGCCCAGCAGGTAGAGTGTGTGAGCTGGATCAGCACGTTGTTTGTTTTCTCATTATGAGCCTAAACACTTCAAATCTATTTCCAGCTGCTAGTTAGCCTCCCTGGGGAGCTGCCCTGGCAGTGGCTTTTCCGATTGCTTGCACTGGAGTGTATCATGGCTACATGTTGATTAAAGATCTCCCTCTGTCCTTCAGAGCAAAAGGTATGCCTTCAAGATGAAAACAGGCACATATAATAAGATTAGGCTGGGTCTTGGTAGTTTCTCATTTTAGAAGCATGAAGTAGTAATTGCAGCTTCCGTGTCTGTGTTTGCTCTGCCCTGACTCCTTTGGTGTGCTTCTTTTTAGATGAGTGGGGCTAGAGGTCCTTGGGCAGTTTTGATCAATTTTTCACTTTAAACACTGTTTTGGACTCTTCTCCAAGAGGTAGTCATCAGAGCATGAGAGCCCCATACCTGCCCGCACATCCTGTGGAGCCAGTGCGGCCTGCATCTCTCCTGCATGAACCCACTGGGGTTGATTTCTGGTAGACAAAGCCACATTTCTCCACTTAGGTGTAGGTGTACCCTGGTCGGGTTTGGTGTGGATAGAGGGAACTGCAGTTCTTCAGGGAGGACAGGTCACAAACTGCCTCTCTCTGTTTCCCCTCAGTGATGGGTCCGGCCACCATGATGGTTTCAGTGGTTGAGCTTTGAAGCCAGTGCATCATGTACAGTGTGGAAGATCTTCTGATTTCTCATGGATACAAACCGTCAAGAGAACCATGTGAAGATAACCCTGAAGGGCGCCAGCGAGCAAGGACAAGGACCAGAGGTGCCCGTGGCCTGATGAATGGGTATGAGGATGGCCCTGTAGCCTTTAAACACAGTAAATCATCCCCAGGGACAGGACATGTGAGTGACTCTGAAAGCCGCCGCGGCACTCCGAGGGGCCACGGGGAGCGCCCAAGCACTTCTGCTTCTAGAGCTGCTGAGGCCGGGTAAGGCTCCATGTTGACCTGCCATATTCCTTTAACTTAAAAGTTTGGCATTGCGTTGCATCTTAGTAATTTTTTTATATTTGAATGGGACCATGAGGAAAAGAAGAGTCTAAGATAAGAACATTTCTTTCCTTTGTGGTATTTGGGGTGTTCCAGCAGCACTTAGCCCAGGGGCTGGCTATCGTAGTCCTTCAGTAAACAATGGTGAGTACTGTGCTAAATGTGTTTTAATGCTGTGTGTGTCTCTGTTCTCTTTTTTGTTCACTTGCTTCAGGTAGGAATCATTTTGGAACTTTGGAAAAGCTAATTCATGTCCACGCACACATTGATGACTTTCTTATTAATACATTTCGATATTTTGTAGGTTACAGGAGGTTGTATTCCCCTCCATTTGTCACAAAGAGAACCTTTCTTGTGTACTGATAGAATTCCCTTGGCTTTGGACCCATCTGCCCTTTCTGTTTGCACTGTACTTCATCTGGGTATCCCATCTGAACACAGCTGCATCTGTGAGTGTTCACTATGACATAAACAAACAGATAGCATTGGTTGGTTGGAAGAATGGGATGGTTAACAAAAGGGAGTTTCTAGAACTTGCCACAAAGCCAGCATGAGATAGGAGCCCTGAAACTAACTCTCTCCCAAATACTTTCAACTTGGAGAAAACCATTGTCACCCCTTCATAAAACTGTTTTGTCTTTAATGCAGCATTGGGACTTAGTACAGATTGGAGAAGAAGAGCTCTCAGTATACAGTTGCTTCATGCAGCTGGTTGCAACCAGCCAGAATGGACAAAGGCAACAAGTGGAGGCAGGGGGTCTATCTTTAAGAAAAGCACACCGAAATGTGAATTAAGTCTGATGGGAATCATCCGGCCTTTTGGGGTTACAGGTCACCTTGACCCATAAAATTTCTTCCTCATTGTTTGACATCTTTCAGGCAAAGAATGGGAGAGATTTCATTTGTGCAGTCAGAGCAGTCAACACTGGTTACTGGGTAGAAGCAAGAGCGCCTCTTGCACAGTGTATTCAAAGCAGTTCTGTGCTACTCAGTCAGTTCTCATTGGTGGGAACTAGGTTATCCATGAAAGGTAGCATGGAAGAGGACTGGAAGCTGTGGTTCTTTGACCTTGCCCTCCACCATCCACACCTTTCTCCACTACTTTCTTGGGCTTAACTCTCTTGGAAGCCATGTTCCCTGCCATGGAATTTGGATGAGGACAATAATGGACAAGTTGGCTGAAGGTGAAGGCAACCTTAATTACGATCAGAAAAACATGTGCTTGATTTTCTCCTGCTTTCTGTTCTTTCTAGTTTTTACTGAGTATATCCATCTTCCAATGTGGATTGAAGATATTACGCTTGTACCTTATCTCCTGTTTCTTTTGTATTTCCTGCAGAGCTCATTACAGCTTTATGCACACAGTAAATGATATATTATTTAATATATGCTGATGGGTTCAACTTATTCTTCCTGCCATTGTGGGAACTTTTGAAAAACAGAAGACTCAATTCTGTGTGAGGTAAAGACAGGGCCATGGAATCCATACAGATGGGCTGTGTCAGTCAGATCAGATCAGAATTGGGTTTCAGAATAGGAGGTAATAGAATCCCCTTTAGAATTCTCTGTGTGTAGTGTGGCCCCCAAGCTCAGGCACAGCTTGCTCAGGACTTTCTAACCCTTGCATGGTAACCTGGGAACCCTCAGGGCCCACCTGCCCAGAGTTAGGTGGGTAGCATAATCAGACCCATAAGCAGTATTTCTTTCTGTCACGAGTGAAGTGCTCAAATAAGTGTTTTTGTGTGGCAGTGGGTTGTTGACTAAGTTCTCCATAAATCTGGTCTCTTTCTCCATGTTTCTGAGGTTTACTGATTAACTTGGGAGGTGTGTGATGACTTCAGGTTGACTTAAAAAGTAGAAAGAGAAAAGCTTACATATTTTCAAAACTCTATTCCAATATCCAGATCCTCAGAGACCGATTGCAAGGCTTACTGGGTTAACATGCTTTAGGAAGAAATAAATACTTAAAAGTTAAAAATAGTTAAAAGCTTAAAAAACATAAAAACAAAACCAAGACAAAACAACCATGCCATGGCTTATGTGAATTCTGAATCTCAGTGAATAAATGGTGTTCTGCCAGCTTACAGCCTTTGATTGCTTGACAATTGCAGCTGTAGTCTGGCTGCCTATCCTCTCTCACACAGTAGCCCCTGCTGGGCTGGTCTCCAGGTTTGGGGGCACTTGGAACCAGGATGGCCATCTAACTCCAAGCCAGCAGGGTGACTGGGGAGTCCTGAGGGCTCCTCTAATGCTGTTTCTCAGGTGGACACCTTGGGCTGGTCCTCAGTACACTGCCAATTTCCTGGGCAAGGTGAAGGCTGAGGTTTGGAAGGCTAGATGGAAGAGATCAGTTTGTTCTATGCTGGCAGGTGGTAGAGACATAGGCACACTGGTAATTTTTACAGAATAACATGAAGCCCAGAGAATGTCAATGGCTTGTCCAGGGCCACTCAGGACAGCAGTGGAGGGAGCCCAGCTTAGCCACAGGCTCTGGGCTGCCAGACGCCTGGTGACTAGGTCTGGCCAAGTTTGAAAGGGGCCTCAATTCTGTGAGCCCCTTTTATAGCTGCCCTGTGCTGGACTGTTTTCTCATTTCCTTGTCCCTGGCAGGCCTGGGGAGTTGTAGAAGGAGTACATCCTCTCATACCTACTTTAGATGACATATATAATACTGCTTTTCTGGGGACATTGTTAAGGGCCATAAAGGAAGGTGGTGTCCTTCGTCTGGGGCTTCTTTTGACAGGATTTTCAAACATATAGAATACTTGTTACCTACCTTGCTAAAGACACTATGCTTAGGAGATTTTGCTATTATTAGATCAAGTAATAGTGAGCATCCAAGATGGTAAAGAAGTGACGATTCAGATGTGAAGAGAGGTGCAGGGATATGTGAACTTTCCAAAAAGTTCTTAGGCTCAAGTAGTGAAGATAGGACCAAGAATCAATTCTCATCTGTACATAGTTTATCCAAATTAATGAGAGAACTGTTTTCCTCAACTAAGTATTAATGTGTGGGACCATCCATCTTATGGCTGGAAGGCACAGAAGATGAGCTCTGGGCCCCTGTGGTGTAACTGCTGCATAGCACAGGGCCCGCCTGGTTCTGCTCCCTGCATTGCCCAGCCCTGTAGCAGGCCCTGCAGGCCACATAAGCTCAGCCAACCTGCCTCTCCTGTGGCCTCCTGTTGATGGGATGCCAGATACACAGGGTCACCATGCAGGCCCCATTCCCTTTCCACCCAATCTCATACTGGAAACCCCATCTTACCAGTTTAATGGCTTCAGGTTGCTGTCATGGAAGTCACTCTCTCCTTTGAATTCTTCCAACATTTTCTCTTGGTCTTCAAAATCGTCAGCTTCCTGAAGGCTGATACCATATCTACGTCATCTTTGACTTGACTAATTCCTCTTAAAGAATTTTCAGTTAGTGAATGTTCATTCCTTAAATAATTCCTCTGAATCAACCCTTGCACTCATAAGCCCAGACAATGTGTACAAGGGACGAGTCTTTCAGAACCTTGGAAGAAGAGAAGGGTGGGACTGGTGTGAGGAGGTTCCATGGTGAAGAGGAAGAGTGTTGGCTTCCCTGACAGGTAGGCGAGGTGGCAGTGTCAGTGGCTTCCGCCCTTGTATAGCAGGGAACAAACAAGGAGAAGGTAACTACCATAGACCCAGCAAGACTTTTGGTGGGCTGAACAGTTCCTAGTGAAAAAGCTTTCCTCCTTTGTAGATACTGGGGATGGCAGAAACTGGTACCCACCTAAATAGAAAGGCAGGGGTTGTTGTAAGGATAGGTAGGACAGGAAATCTCAGGAACCATCCATGGACAGGAAATGAAGGAAGACTGGCCAGACCTCATCTGATGTGAGAGCGACAGTGCTGGAAGCCAGGACGGGTCTGTCTGTTCATTGATGTCTCTCTAGACAGTCTGCAGAGGGGAGACCCATTCAGTCTTTGTCCCTCCTTACCTCTTGGCATCTCTCTGTTCTTATGCATCCCCTTCTGCTGGGCAGCCTCTTCCCTAACAGTCACTTGGGCTCAGGGTAACTTTTATCTTTCCCTTATCCTCTGTGAGGGTTTAACCTCTGAGCTTACTGCTGACTTCCATCTGTGTCTTAGTTTAAGTTTTTGTAGAAAAGAATCAGTGTTGCTGGGCAGCCAGTGGCATATCAGCCTTGTATTGAGGGCAGGGGGACAAAAAAGGGGTAGAAGGCGGGCTGTAGAGAGGAAATGGACAGACATGGATGCTGGGACTTTGTCTACATCAGGGGCTATGGATGAGGACAGTTTCCAGGCCAGGAGTCCTGACCTTGTGCCCAAAATATGTTCTCTCTTCACAAACCATTCACTGAGTGACTCTAAAGACTTGGCATTTTCCCCTTTTTAAGCCATTTACCTCCTGGTAAGCCTTCTGTTCTAGAGGCTAACCCACTCCTGGACGGTCTTGGTTAACAGATTGTGACTATGAAACTGCCCGCAGGTTTGGCATGAAAGTCACTTCCATGGTACACAAGAGCCCACAGGCCTTGCTTTCTAACCAATATACACATGGCACTTGCACATGATGGTCTAGGGGTCGCCGATCAGGGAAAGTTGTGTGTTATCTGTACCTGGAGGAAACTGCATACTTCAAATGCCAGTAGCCACAACTGAATAATATTTAGCTGCCGTAAAATATGTAAGACTGTTATCAGGCATTCTCGGTTTCCTTAATGTGTTTCCTGTGAAATATTATAATCAGAGGAAGCTGTAAAATGACTTAACTTAGCTGAGGTTTGAATCTGAAAGTCACACCACAATAGACTCTTCTCCGCTTTGCCCCAGGAATTCTAGTAGAAAAAAATTTGTTAGTTAACCATGGCAATAACTTGTAATTATTTTCTGTCATCAGTGGCAGTTGTGACTAATTAGAGACTCAGCAAACTGGGAGAGTCTCTGAT